GTATTTTCTGTTTCAGAAATGTTCTGAAAAATTTGCTGTTTAATTTCAAAACCATTTCCTTCATAGCTATACCTGTAGCAACTGTGGCTCTGTGTTAGTCAGTTTTCCATTGATAAGACAAAATACCTGAGAAAAACAAGTTGCAGGAGGAAAATTTTATTTTGGCTCACAGTTTCAGAGGTTTCAGTCTATGGTGGTTGGTTGGTTCCATTGGCTTTGGTGAGGCAAAACATCATGGCAGGAATGGCAGAGCAACACTGCTCAGTTAGTATGGTCAGAAAGCAGAGCTGGGGTTGTGGCAACACTGCTCAGTTAGTATGGTCAGAAAGCAGAGCTGGGGTTGTGGCTCAGCGTTAGAGAGCTTGCCTAGTACATGCACGCCCTGGATTCAGTCCTCGGTACCACATAAAAATAAATAAATAAAGGTATTGTGTCCAACTACAACTAATAAATAAATAAATATTCTTAAAAAAAAAAAAGCAGAGAATGGGAGGGGAAAGAGCTGGGGAAAATATATAGTCCCCAAGGTCACAATCCTTCATCTAAGTCTCGTCTCCTGCTGTCTCCACCACTTCCTATAGTCCATTCAACCATGCTGAATTGATCCTTTCATGAGGTTAATGACTCCTAAAAGCCCCATATCTGAACATTATTGCATTAGGGACCTTGCCTTCAACACATGAGTCTTTGCTGGACATTCCAGATCCAAATCATAACAGGCTACTTCAATTTTAAATCTTTAAATCAGATTTTTGCCCACTATTAAAAGTTAATATTGGCCTTCTCTGTAACTCAACCTGGTTATTTTCTATTAAGATAGAAACATTAAAAATACCAGATTGGGAATTATGCGAGGAGCTGTGACTAAAAGAATCCTGGAATTTATGCTTTATGATGCACTATTGGAAAATAAATTAGAATATCTTTTTTGATTTTCCATTTAGAATGAGAATCATGTATTAGCATTTTTTGCCTTTCAGCATTAAGAACCTCGTAGTCTCATAAAGCATTTTATCCTAAAGTCAAATTTATTTTCTAAAAGAGGTATTTCTGAAGTGAATAGACTAGCTTTATTTCAGTTTATTTTTGCATGATTTATCTATATTAAGCATACCCAGCTACTCAGGAGGCTGAGGCAGGAGGATCTCAAGTTCAAGGCAGCCTGAGCAATTATCAAGACCCTGTCCAAAATAAAAATTTTTTAAAAGGACTGAGGATGTAGCTCATTGATAGAGCACTCACCTATTATGCATGAACTCTCCTGGGTTCAATCCCCGGTACCACAAAGGGAAAAAAAAAATCTAGCTGCATTCAAGATTTTTTCTCTGTCTTTGGTTTTAGGTAGTTTGACTAGTATGTGTCATAAGTATTTTCTCTAGTTTTAATATTATTTGGCTATCTGGGCCTCTTGGATCTATAATTCATTGTTTCATTAATTTTTTTGTGTGTGTGTGTGTGGTGCTGGGAACTGAACCCAATGCCTTGAGCTTGCAAGGCAAACACCCTACCAACTTAGCTATATCCCCAGCCCTCGAATTTATTTATTTATTTATTTATTTATGTTTAGGTGTAGATGAACACAATGTCTTTATTCATTTTTATTTGGTGCTGAGGATAGAACCCAATGCCTCACACGTGCGAGGCAGGTGCTCTACCACTAAGCTACAGCGCCAAGACAGAAACATTTTTTCTGTCTTATTTTTCTTTTCTTCCTTGCCAATTACACACATGCTTTTCATGTTGTCCTACAACTCCTGAATTCTTTGTTGTTTTCCACTTTTTTCTTTGAGTTGAATATAGGTCATTTCTGTCTTCACATTCACATTCTATCACCACAGAACTGGTGTGCCATGTGCTGATAAACCTGTTAAAGGAATTCTTATCTCTGCTACTGTATTTTTTATTTCTAGCATTTGATTCATTTGCAGTTTCTACCATCTCAAATTGTGCTTCTTTGTCTGCACATTGTCTACCTTTTAAGTTCAACCCTTTAGCCTATTAGAGACTTCCAGCATCTGGCCCATCTTGAGAATGGTTCTGTTGGTTGCATTATTTCTGGATAATGAGTTGGGCTTTTCTCGTGCTTTTATGTGTATCTTATAAATTGTTGTCAAATATCAAATGATGTGTGGAAATAAATACAAGGAATCATATTATCACCCAGAAGTGGGGACACTTCTTTTTTCTTAGGTTATTGGGCTTTGGCTTTTGTCCTTGCCTTCAGTGCACCACAGTCCTCAGACCTCCAACAGTTGGCTACTGTCACTTTGTGCCTCTGAGAGTGGTGCTTGAAGTACAAGGTTCTTACTTTAATCCTTTTATTTTATACCTTTTTGTGCATTGATGTGGTCTTTATTTTATTCAGAATCTTTTTAATAAGGTCAGCAAGGCACTATGTGGTCTGGTACAGGGTCAAATGGTAAATTATTTAGGATTTTGCAGGCCACATAGTTTCTGTCAGAACAACTCAAGTGCTATTATAACAGGAAAAAACCATAACCATTAAGTAAACAAATGAGTAAGGCTGATTCCAACAAAACTTTCTTCACAAAACAAGCCAGATTTGTCCTGTATAATTCACTGACCACTTATGCAGTCTTGTTCTTACCCTCCTCCCAGCCTCTCCTGCCATTGTAGTGTGCACCCCACCAGGGCAGAGGCTTTTGCCTCATTTCCCAAATGGCTAACAATGGCATCTGACACATAATGGGCTGTCAGTTTATTAAGAAGAATGGATGAGTGAACTATATTTGGAATGTTTTCTTATAAATAGCATGTAACTGAATTTTTAAAATATGTGTGCTGATCTCTTGTGATTCAACCAATACTTTTAAGTGGGCTGCTTTTGTTGTGATTACTAATAAAATTGGAACTGCTTCTGTCAGCTTTTTGGTTTTGTTTTCTATTTTTTTCCTTTAAACCTCCTTACTTGCTCTTTAGGCTTAATCACATTTTTTCTCTTTGTCTTTGTTCTGTCACTGAATTTAGAAACCAAACAAAACTAAACATTCTTATTACTGTTTTAGAAACTACATTTTAATATAGAAGCTGTATATTTAATTTAGAAACTAACATGTGTATTTGTCTTAGCAGCATTTGAGGATACTCCTCTGAACAGTTGGAAGACCTTAGCATACTTTCTAATTTTTCATACTTCCAATTTCTTGTTATTCTTTTCTAAGATTTTAGTTTCACTTTCCCTTAGACCATCTCAGTCATTCCCCACATCCACCATGGTTTTTATCCTCTTTGATAGATTTACTCAGATATCTTACTTCATCCCTTTGTATTTCATCATCATCGTAACAAAAAGCATTTTTAGTAGTTATTTCAACAGGCATCTATCATTGATGAAATCACCCAGACTTTGAAAGTGTCTTAATAATCTGTATTCTTAGATGAGCAAATAATTCCATTATTTTCTGGAATTTGTTATTTTCTTCTATTTGGGAACATTTTCAGCTAGTAACTCTTCACATCTTGCCTCTTTATTTTCTTCTGGTATTCCTTTTTAGATGTACAGTCATGGGTCACTTAATGATGGTGATAGGTTCTGAAAATATGTCATTAGCTGATGTTTTCCTGCAAACATCCTAAAATGTATTTAGTCAAACCTCAATGCTATTACCTCCTACATACCTGAACTGTGTGATGCAGCCTCTAACTCCTAAGCTGCAAACCTGTGCTGAAAACTGTAGGTAATTGTAAAACAGTGGGTAGGTATCTGTGTATCTAAATCTATATAAGCATAGAAAAGACACAGTAAAAGTGTTAGGCAGTAGGAATTTTAGAGTTCCATTCTAATGTTTTGGGTCTGCTTTTGTGTATGCAGGCTGTCATTGACCCAAATGTCAATATATAGTATATGACTGTATGTGAGATCCTTGAACTCCTCCTTTATGTTTTCTAGTGCTATATGAACATTCTGGGTAAAATTCTTAGATCGATCTTGTAGGTCACCAACTGTGTCTTTGAATATTAATCTTCTATTTAATCTTTTTTACTTTTTTCATTTCAATTGACTTTATTTCTAGAAATTTAAGGTATTTTTTCCCATATGCCTATTTCCTCAAGATAGAATCATCCCAAGCTATCTCATTATAAAAGTAGATCAAGTACCTTTATTTCCAATCCAGTATACTAAAGGATGAAAGGATGAGGGTTCAGTTGTCCAGAGATGGATCAAAAAAGACATACCCCTGTTTTCATAGCTTAATAAGTTTCTCAGGGAGTTTGTGGTTCAAGATTGATTGCTTATTTTGTTTCTTTTAAAAATCTTGGGAACTGGGGATGTAGCTCAATGGTACAGTACTTACCTAGTATGCATGAAGCTCTGGGTTCAATACCAAGTACTACAAACTCTGTGTGTGTGTGTGTGTGTGTGTGTGTAAAATATTTTCACAAAATATGGTCTGAGTGTAAGAAAATAAAAAGTCATTTCTCTAAATGGTATTATTTTTACTTTTCAATTTGAATACTTTAATGTTAACACTCAGATGGCTTGTTGAATCAGTCTTCCTGTTTTACTTGTTGCATACACCAACATGTATTCACCCTATTCCCACACTCCCTTCTAAAAAATATATATATATAATTTTAATGTTAGAATATCTCATGCAAAAAACAAATATGTCACTCTGGAGTAAAAGGGCTTATCCTTTCCAAATGTCAGATATGAATTAGATAACAATGAGTAGGTTAACTAGACTAGAATCTTTAGAAAAGTAATAGGCTAAAATCACTGTCTTCGGCCATAAAGTGGATTTAATCCAAATCCTAAAATTTTTTTAAATAAAGTGACATTTGTTTAAATAATTAAAACAATTATTTGTGGAATTTTAAATGTTTAATCTCAAAATATTTTGTTTTAATGTAGTTTTGGGATTCTTGACAGTTCCTGTTTGGCACAGAAATATTCATTTGTTTTCTTTTCCCAAGTCTGCTTAAAGGTTAACTGACTGAAGTAGGCGGGTCCTCATGTTTACTAATATGTATTGCAGCTCTGTTGGTACACCAGAAGGCCAGAATGGAACGACTTCAAAGAGAACTTGAGATTCAGAAGAAAAAGCTGGATAAACTAAAATCTGAGGTCAATGAAATGGAAAATAATCTAACTCGAAGGCGCCTGAAAAGATCAAATTCCATATCCCAAATACCCTCCGTAAGTCATATGTAACTGTGGTGACCTCTGTGCTTGAACCTGAGAATAGGCTGTATGCCATAATGTCAAAAGACTTGATGTAGTTTTCTACAAATGTTCTTAATTCATATTTGTTTTTCTGTCCTTACCTTCCCCTGACAAAAACTCCATTCTCTCTTAACTAATAACATGAGATTTCAATGCAAATCTTTCTGACATGGAATTATTTTTCAGCTCGAAGAAATGCAGCAGTTGAGAAGTTGTAATAGACAACTCCAGATTGACATTGACTGCTTAACCAAAGAAATTGATCTTTTTCAAGCCCGAGGTAAAGTTCAGTGCACACTCAGCTGAAATTCATTGAATTAATCTGCCAACTCTTTTCCTGTGGCTGAGAACGAACTCATCAGTCATAATTTTACTACCTCAGTTCGGGCGGAGCCAGATGATAATGCTAAAGAAACATTAGATTTTTATTGCCTCGTTTGCCCCCCCAAAATAAGTATATACTTGGTTCAGAAGTCACTTGATACACTTTATATACTTCAGATCCACTTTTGGTCAGCTGTATTGCTTTTGTGTGTAGAATCTTTTGTGATGTTTATTAATTAACAGATGTATCCGTGTAACTGTTTTGTTTTTGTCCTTTCAAGAATTATGCATTCCCATCTCAATGGCACTGCCTTAATTGAAAAAAATAGAGAAGATGATGAAAGTAAGGTTATACATTTGTAGGTCAATGATAGTTTTTTATATTTAAACTATTAATAGCAGTTATTAGCAGTAATAATTAGCTATTAATAGCTATAGTTTCTTATTGTAGTAAAAAATGTTTATGACTTAATTCATTTCCATAGAAAACTAAAGCAGAATTTTATCACTTAAAACTTTAATCCTGAAATTGGGGAAATAATAGAAATATATAAAATAGAAAAAACAGGGAAAGGAAGGAAATTAATAAAAAAGAAATCCTCAGTCTTAATTTGGAGTGTCTTCCAACATTCATTAAACTGAAAGATGATTGATTTTACTTAAATTTTTAAAAAAAATATTGGCTGTTTATCTTGAAACACTCATAGAAAAATACCGCAGTTTAAACTTTGAAGAAAAGAAATGGCTAGTCTAGAAACTATAATCCTTGATGTTATTCATGTAGTAAAAAATTTGAACCATTATATCACATTAGCACAAGGTTTTTATACTTACTTGGGGCCAGGCTCTGTAGTTGTTCAAGTCCATACTTGATAACTTAAAGTTACTTTTTAAATTTTATGTTATTTTCATTTGTAACATAGAACAGGGGTCACTTCTAATTCTTTCTTATCATCTTTAGTTTGACTTCTTCCCCAATTTAACATTTATCTCTGTGTATGAATGCTATATTATACCTATATTTTGAAATATGTTTTTGAAATCTTACATATAATTTGAGATAGAGATGAAGATAATGAAAAGCATTTCTTTGGTTTTATACTGTAGCATTTTTAGAAAGAAATGCTTGCTTTAAAAAAATAAGTATTTTGGGACTATAAACATTGATATATTTACTTTTTATATATTTCAGGACCACATTTTAACCCCAGCGCTATTCATAACTTTTATGACAATATTGGATTTGTAGGTCCTGTGCCACCAAAACCCAAAGGTTAGTGTATCCATTAAGTGTGAAAACTGTTAATTTTGAAAAGCAAGATCTTAGAAACTTTTTATTTTTAACAACCTTCCACTCTAGAAGTACTTCAAACTTTGGCATTCTTGGATCTTTATTAGGAAGATGTTTGTTTATTTTCATTTATATGCTGGGGGCTGGGGAGGGTGCAAAGGTGTAATGTATTTAGCTTCTTAAAAGTAATAGATGTGGGCTGAGGTTGTGGCTCCTGTTGTAACAAGAGCGCTTGCCTGGCATGTGTAAGGCACTGGGTTTGATTCTCAGCACTGCATATAAATAAAGGTCCATCAACAACTAAAAAAAATAATAAAAAAGTAAAAAAATAGCAATACATGTGACCTTAGAGATTACTTTGTATTCCCAAAATAGCAAGTCTTGGTTTTAAAATAAATTATCAAGGGCAAAAATTTGTATTCTTTCAATTTAGATAAATGATGACACTTTTAGGGAAGTTTATTTTTTCATAGTGTCCTATTTTGTTTAATATTGATATGACTTTATGTAATCAAAATATCCTGAATTCCAGATGAATGATTTTCAAAAAATGTTTCCTGATGTCATTTTACATCATTGATAGTCACAGAATATACGAATACCAAATTGACACATGTCAAAATGTGTCTGTATGTTTTGATCCAGGCATTAAAATAGTAAAGAAATGAAATAAAATGCATAATTCACACTACTGAAGGTAAATATGTAGACATATACATACAGGTTCTATAACATTACAATCATGGTGTATAATTTACTTTAATATGAAAGTTAAAATATTAAAATTATATTAATATACAGTATTTTTAAAAGCAAACTTTGACTATAAGAACACAAAATGACAGGATGAGGGTGCTGAAAGTATAGTATAATATTTTGTATGCAATTGAAGTTGTTATCATCAACTTAAAATAGAAACGAAGAGTTAAAAGATATTTTATGCAAGTGTCAAGCTAATGACAAAGAAGAACCCTGATATAGATACAGAAAAGATAAAAAGAAAAGCAAAGTACTCACTATTAAAAAATCATAAAAGGAAGATAGCAAAAGAGAAAAAGAGGAGCAAAAAGCTGCCAAATGTACTAGAAACAATAAAATGGTGATAAGTCTTCACTTAGCAATTATTGCCTTAAATATGGAATAAAAGAATTTTTAAAAACAGGATCCAACAAAGTGCTATCTATAAGAGACTTGTTTTATATTTAAAGGCATACATAGGCTGAAAGTGAAGGGATGGGAAAGATTTTTCAAGTAAATGGTAACCAAAAGAAATCATGAGTGGTTGTATCAGAAAAAAATAGATTTTTAAGTCTAAATATGCCTCTAAACACAAAGAAAGTCTTTATATATATATAATTTTTACATATAAATGACAAAGGATCAGTTCAAAAGGAAAGCACAAACAATATAGAACTGCCTACCAAACAGCAAAAGAATATACATTTATCTCAAGGTCCCATGGAACCTTCTCCAGGGTAGATCAACGTGTTAGTTTACAAACTAAGTCAAATTTAAGAAGAATCATTCCAATTATCTTTTTCAACCACAGTGGAATGAAACTAGAAATCATTAACAATAATACCAGAAAATTCGTGTAAATGTAAACAACACACTTTTGAACATCCATTGAGTCTTTGAGGAAATGAAAAGGGAATTTCAGTAGTATCTTGAGAAAAACAAAAACAACATATCAAAACCTATGAGATCAAACAAAAACAATACAAAGAGGTAAGTTCAAAAAAAAAGAAGAAAGGTCACAAATAAACGATCTAACTTTATACTCAAGGAACTAGAGGAACAACAAACTAAACCCCAAGTTAGTGGAAGGAAGGGAATAATAGAGTAGCACAAAAATAAATCAGAGAATTTTAAAACAATGTAAAAATTAAGAAGCTAAACATTTTTTGAAAAAATAAAGTTGACAAACTCATAGCTAGAGAGATTAAGAAAAACAGAAGATTCAAAATTAGAACAGAGAGAGAAGCCTCAAACATAAAAGGATTATAAGGACCTACTGTGTGTGTGTGTGTGTGTGTGTGTGTGTATTTACACCAACAAACTCAATAACCTATAAAATGGGTAAATCCCTAGAAATATATAACCTACCAAAACTGAAGAAGTGGTAGCCTGAACACAGTAACAAATAAGTAACTGTAATAAAATATCTCCCAATAACAACAACAAAAGCTCCAGACCAGATATAGATATCTTCATAAGTGATATACCTGCTGAACCATGAATGCATAAAATCTTCATTTAAAAAAAATTTTTGTAGTACTGAGACTCATATATGCTAGGCAGTGCTCTTTTACTGAGCTACCATCCCCATCCTCATTAAAATAATAGCAAACCAAATTTAGTAACACACTAAAAGCATCATATTCCATGATTGAGATTGATCCCTAAGATGGAAGAATGAATGATTCATCCTACAGAAATCAGTCAGTGTGATACAACACATAGAAAGTAAAAGCTGTTGTGGTCAACTGAGTAGATGCATAAAAATTATTTGACCAAGTTCAACATCCATTGATGATTAAAACTCTTAACAAAATAGATGTAGAAGGAACTTAACATACTAAAGGCCATGTATGAAAAACACAGATAACATCATAGTCAGTGGGAGAAAATGGAAAGATTCCCACTACGAGAGCTAGTGCAAAGCAGGGATGCCTACTGTGTCCTCTCATTTTCAACACAGTGTAAAGTCCTAACAAGAGCAATTGGAGAATAAAAATGAACAATAGATTTCCAAATCAAAAAAGAGAAAGTTAAATTCTGTTTGCAGAAGACAGGATTGTATGGTGGTCACCCTTTATCTGCATTTGCTTTCATATTGGTTACCTACAGTCAACCATGTTCTGAAAAGCAGTAAGTTTTAAATAACTTTTGTTGCAGTATATTAGTATAATTATTCTATTATCAGTTATTGTTAATCTCTCATGATGCCTAATTTATAAATATAGGTATAGGAATAAACATGGTATATATAAAATTCAGTGTGATCCATGATTTCAGGCATCCCCTGGGGGCCATTCAGTGTATTTCCCAAGGATAAAATAGGACAACAAATATGTAGAAAAGCCTCAAAGATTCAACAACAACAACAACAAAAACAAAAAACTAATAAAAGAATGTAGTAAAATTACAGATACAAAATCAACGTACAAAAATCAATTAGGGGGCTAGGGTTGTGGCTCAGTGGTAGAGTGCTTGCCTTGCACACATGAGACACTGGGTTCTCAGCACCACATAAAGTAAATATATAAGTTAAATAAAAGTATTGTCCATGTTCAACTAAAAATTTTTTTAAAAATCTATTAGGGGCTGAGGTTGTGGCTCAGTGGCAGAGCACTTGCCTCGCACATATGAGGCACTGGGTTAGATCTTCAGCACCACATAAAAGATAAATAAACAAAGATATTGTGTCCATGTATAACTAAAAAAAACAATATTTAAAAAATATGAAAAGCTTATTTAAAAAAAAAGAAAATAAATCAATTAGGTTTCTATACACAGTGAACTGTGAAAGGAAAATCAGGAAAACAATACCATTCACAGTAACAACAAAAAGAATAAATACAAATAAACTTAACCAAAGAGGTGGAATGTTTATATACCAAAATTAAGAAGCACTGATGAAGGAAACTAATAAATACACATATGGAAAGCATCCTCCATTCACAGATTAGAGGAACTAATATTGTTCAAAGTAACTCACAGATTAACTTTCAGGGTGCCAAAGGAACAACAGAAGACCCCATTATTTCAAAATAAAGTACAAACCCACAATAACCAAACAGTATGATACTGACATAAAAACAGATATGCAGACCAGTAGTAGAACAGAATAGAGAGCACAGAAATAAATACATGCATCTGTGGTGAGCTTATCTTTGACAAGATTACCCAAAACACAGAATGGGGGAATGATAGTCTCTTTAAAAAAATGATTGGGAAAATAAATATCCACAAGTAGAAGCATGATATTGGAACCTTACCTCACACCGTATACAAAAATTTACTCAAAATGGATTTAAGATTTAAACCTAAGTCATAAAACTACTAAAAGAAAACATAGGGAAAAGACCTCTTGACATTGTTCTATACAATGATTTTTTTTGGAAATGGCAACAAAAGCAAAAAATACATAAATGGGAATGCATCATACTTAAGAGCTTCTACACAAAAAGGAAACTTTTCAACAGAATGAAAAGGCTACTACCTAAGGTCATTTCTATTCTACCATAGTAAATGTGATTTTTAAAAAGTAAGAAAATTTGGTAGAAGTTTTATACTGATGTACTTCTTCAAGGTCTATTTTTGATACAGTTAAATAAGATAAGAAATTAGTTCTCTATATTTGATTTATGTTATCCAAGATTAATGTTTTCAGTAGATACAGAACATTTAGTGGAAATACAAAGATGACTTCAGTGAGAAATGAGACGTAAATACGCTCAGTATTGCTTTGCAGTTGGACACTTTCACGATTTTAAGTGACATTACAGAAAGTTTGCTATTGGGTATCCTTTCTTCTGCTATAAATTAGGGGAAATGATGCTATTTTCTCCCTTAAGGAGATGTGGGGGTGGTTCTATCATGTCCGTGTTGCTCTTCCCCAGAGAAGTACCAGCTCAGTGAAGATTGGAGTGGTCAAGCACGTGTCAGTTTCAGCTTCCTTTGATTAACAAACTGCTTCATGCAATGCAGTACAAATCATATTTAGAGTTGCCAGTAATTTGTTAGACTTTGTAATCTTTGCCTTTAAAATAAATTTTTTCTTTCTTACAGATCAAAGGTCTACCATCAAAACACCAAAGACTCAAGACGCAGACGACGATGAAGGGGCTCAGTGGAATTGCACTGCCTGTACTTTTTTGAACCATCCAGCCTTAATCCGCTGTGAACAGTGCGAGATGCCACGGCATTTCTGAGCCAGAAGGCCCTATGTCTTCTCTAAAACCACGTCTAAAGTTCAAGAAACTAGTCTGTCATCGGGGCAACATTTCACTGCTACATAGGATTTTGTCAAATGGAAGGTGTGACAAGATGGTGTTGTGCTAATATTAAGTGTCAGCCCACAGAGCTAATAATACCTCAGTATAATGTCACGGGCAGTTGAAATCCATCACCTGAAAGGTAATCTGATGGAAGACTTGGTTGCCTGCTGCCTGACCATGTACAGTGTTACCAGGAGCTAATTCTCACTGTTAATGCCAAGGTGTTCCCATTACTTTTTCCCCTCGTGTCACTACTGAATTTTGACAGGAGGAAGAAATAGAATGATAGCTTTTTTATTTTTAAAGCTTTCAGTGAAACACTACATACAAGAGAAGGAACAAGGTTTAACTATTTAAAAACTGCAGCCGCATAGTGCCATTGTCTAGGGGAAGACCTTCACACATCTGTGGTACTCTTGGCCTTGTCTTTGTCTTCCCTGAAAATGTCTCTGTGAAGCCAGAATATAGGGTCTCAAGATGAAAAGGAAAGCAGCATGCATTGTCTGTACAAACATGCAGTGAAATACCCCAAAGCTTTTCCTACTGTACAGATCTCTCGAGTCTGCTTTAAGTGATTTCTTCTTTATTATTTTCTTATATTTCTATATGTATAGTGTAATAGCCTTTTGTTAACTAATTTTCTTTTTTCCTTTTAGTGATTAAGCACGATCATGTCCCTTTTTAAGCCTTACCTAAGAGAAGCAATGTCGTAAAATAAAAAAAGCATTAATGAAATGAAACTATGCACAAAATAACTTTCCTCTACTTACCCTGTACTTTGCCCTCATGGGTGCCGATGTTCTGTGAAGACATACAGATGCTGCACAATGAACTGCAGAAGGTATTACAAGAATTATGTCAGTAGGTCACACTATGTGCTGACTTTAGAAGTGGGGTGGCACAACATGGTGTTTTGTCTTCCATGGGGAAGCTTAAAACAGAAGGTCTTTTAACCCACTCGCAAAGTGTGCCTCATCTGCTTGGTGCCCCGCAGAACTTTCACAGGAGATTTTTATCGGAAAAGTACAGTTTCAAAACCAGCAACAGCAGCAGTACCAACAGCCCTTTTATTTGGAAAGAAGTTTAAATGCTTTACTGTTGGGACAATCTGTTTCTAAACCTGACTTGGTGGTAGTAACGTGTATTTATAAAACAAGGCTATTCATATTTAGGACAACTGAAGAAAAGCTGGAAAAAAAGAAAAATAAGCAAACTTGAACACTGAAGCAACCTCAAGCATCTCTTTATTTTGATGATATATTTTTGTAAGGAAAATAAGTATTCAGATGATCAGGAATGTATATAACTCAATGGAATCAAGAAAAGATAACAGTATGCATTTAAAAAGAATTATGAAACTATATATCAGTGCTTAGAATGGGGCTAAGGGAAGTGCTGAAATACAGTAAAAGACAGGAGGTAATGTAGACTGTCACCCACTGTAAATGTTTGCAAGTGGCTGTTTTAAATAATCAGGATTATTACAGTGATCTCTATGAATGTTAAAGCCTCAGCTTCCAGGCTTTACATTATGTATATGGAAAGAAATATGACAATCCTAGGTAATTAGGCAGTAGACCCAGAGCCCTTACATTGGATGCATTTTGTCTTAAAAATAGGCCTTGTTTTTCAGCTTCATCTGCAGTTCTATGTGAAGATTGATAAATCAGTTTTTACTTGTTTTATTAATAAAACGTAATTTGGATATCTTGAGTTGATGGTTTTGTGATTTAGCTGGGTAAACTGTCTTTGTAACAGATAAGTTATTTATAAAAATTAAAAAACTTATATTCTAATGTGGATTTTGTGCCTTGTTTTTAAAGTTTGTGGGACAGGAAATAATTTGTACCCCAATAGAACATTTAATTGTTAATGGAGATCAGGAAAAAAAAGTTAAAAATAACCTTCACCCTCTAGAGTCCTCTCAGGACACCAGGTGTTCAGAAGCTACATGGCTTAGATTCTTTTTGTCAGTTTCCCCAGGCTGCTTGTTAACTGATAGCAACCAGATTTCAGCTAAGCCAAAACAAAGCTTTTTTTAATAATGTGTTATGACTTTCTGTTTTTAAATTTTTGAAAATTTACCCCATTGTTAAAAACAAGCCTGATTTCTTGGACCATTTATGCTGGGTTGTCAGATGGTTGATAAGGGCTCTATCAGTGTCATGGCACAGTTTTTATGAGCTTACAGAGAATGAGGTAGCATTTGCTGGTCTCTGTGATGTAGCTGTACAAAGGCCTGCCTTAAGTTGCCATTTAAACCTGGTAGGAAAGAGAGCCAGGCATGGTGACACATATCTGTAATTCCAGCAGTTTGGGAGGGTGAGGTAGGAGGATCACAAGATGGAGACCAACCTCAGCAATTAAGCAAGTCCCTAAGGACTTAGCAAGACTTTGTCTCAAAATTAAAAAGGCTCAGTGGTTGAGCACCCTTGGTTTCAATCCCTGGTACAAAAAAAAAAAAAAAAAAAATATAAGAAATTTTCTTTAATTTTTTTTTTGTGTGTGTGTAGTTGTAGATGGACAGAATGCCTTTACTTTATTTGTTTATTTACTTTTTTAAATGACCAACCTGAATCATTCTGCAGCCTAAAATTAATTATGTGAGGAATTGAAATTATATGGAAAATTATGTTCATGGATATTCCAAAACTATATTAGCTAATAACTTTAACCTGATATTTTTGTCCAAGTATTTATAATAGCAAAATTAACGGACATTTCATCAGTTTTCTCTACCCCAGTTTAATATCAATGAAAAATTCTAGGGAGCAATGATAGGTTTAAGAGGTGAATAGTGGGGACTGGGGATGTAGCTCAGTGGTAAAATAGTTGCCTAGCATGTATGAGGCCCTGAGTTCAATCCCCAGACTGAAAAAAAAAAAAAAGAAAAGAATGAATAGTGTAAGATATACTATTTAGTTCATGGGTGGTTGAACTGGGCATGTTGCCCTAGAAAATAATATTAAGTCTGTTGGCACTAAAGGCTGTTCCAGATTTACTATCTGCACACTGGGTATTAGCATATAATATATGTTATGCATTAGCATATTAGCATTTTAATTTTTATTGCTTCCACCTGAAAACACAATTAGGCAACTGAGAGAAATCTCTCTTCTAAAGAAAACAGGATTTCAGAGCTTGGTATTAAGTCAGGTTTTCCCTCTCAGAGTGTGGTAGACTGGTTTAGGAAGTGGAAGATTGAATCCTTCGAGCCAGCCCCTTCTCGGTCACTAGAGTTCCTCACTAGGAACTGTATTGACCTGAAACCATGGGTCATGTTTTTGTTTAACAAATAAAAAAATTTGTAGGAATGGGTTGAGGTGTTTTTCTCAACAGAATTCACAGGTAAGTTTGCTCTTTATTTTTCTGAATTTAGGAACATCTCGGTGGATCGGAATTTGGTGTTTCAATCACTGAAATTGAATTTTCCTCCCTTTGATTGTCAAAGGTGGGTTGCTTTGCAGAGTTTAAAAGGCTATCAAAGGCCAACCTGAAGATCAAGTGTGTTTGTTCTGTTGCTTATCCACCTATCTACAAAGTGTACATTTTAGGGAATATAACTGTTTCTCAAGGAAGATAAATACTTCACTTGAAGGACTTACCGTAGTGTTTGCACACCTGCATAATTTTATTAAGCCTAAAATTGACCTGAGTTCCTCTTAGTCTAATGCCTTCAGATCCTTTACCTCCTTCCTTTTCTGAGGACAGCCTTCCTCTGACCCAATCTATATACTAAAGAACCATTACAACTTATTAATCTTTGTTCCAAAAATGTTGTTATTCCTCATGGCACTGTGGAAATGTTTTTTGAACTACACAGATATTTTCCCATAGGACCAATGTGATGAGAGAGAGGTTCCCAAGCTAGACTACTAATTAGCTAGAATGCTTTGCATTTAAAATACTGAAAGAATGGGAATCATAAATGTTAAAATGAAATTAAGAAATAGTGTTTCTTTGTCTTTTATATGATATGGACATTCTGGAAAATACAGAAATTGGTGTTTGAAATAGAAGTCCCTGATTTTGTTAACATCAAATTTTATTTCAGAGTATTCAAGTTTGTCTTATTTTGGATGCAGGTGTTTGGATGCCTTATTGTTCTTGGACATGATGGCAGGTTTTGTTTTTTATTTGTTAAGTAAAGCCAGGCTTCAGATTAAAAGATTCATAGCAGACAGCAGGGACTATTTATATATTTGTAAAGTGGGTCCACAAGACCAGGACGATGCCTATGTAACGAGTGACGTGAAACAAGCCTACATTTTTTATGTGTGTTGGCTTGAAGTTTTAGATTACTACTTTTTGAATCTTTTTTTTTTTCTGGCTGAAACCTTTATTATTTCAGAAATAAGCATCCTATATACTTTGAGATGGTTAAAATAGTTATTTCTGGATTACTGTAACTTTTTAAATCTTAATAAAAGTCTTTCACATTACCTTTTGCTGAAGTGCCAGGTTCCTTTCATAATAGAACAGCATGTACATGTTTAACACTAACTTTCTAATGTGAATAGCCAGGCTCCACTAAGCCACTGAAAAGTCACTCGTGGTTTCATTCCCACAGATGGTAACAGGTGACTTTTGTTGTGATCACAAAGTGTCCCAAAATGTAATGACTCTTAATTAACTTCAGTGGCAAAAAAAAAAAAAAAAAACTTTTTAAGACAGGCTCCTGTATTCCTGGACTCAACCTTTCCTTTCTGTCATTCAGTCATTCGCCTGCTACAGCTACAAGTACTGGCTTCACATGTCAAAAAAACAGATGGTTCCCAAGTTCTAAAACAAGTGAAAAAAGGAATAGGCAGTATTCCCCGAAAACTTGAGATCAACTGTCATTTTCCCCTGAGCGTATGTACATGCTCTGACATCTAAACTATGTTTCTATGATAAATCTCCAACCCCGCTTAAGGGTGGCACAAGGCTCCCATTTATCATAGCATTCATCCATCTGCACACATAAAAGGATTTTCTAACTCTAATTAAAGTCTCTGTGACCATTTTCTTATTTACTATAGGCATAACACTGGGGAGAGGTGCCTTTCATTCTCAAAAGAATGAAATTAATATTTAGTACTTTCTTCTAGACAGAACAGTGAGTTTCCTCTTGCAATCTATTCTCCACTCCTTAGACGACAGCTTCCTCTACCACATTTTGTAAGTTTCCATTGAACATGGGAGCTTTGGCATCCCAATTAATTTGGAAAACAGATCCCCACTTGTTTTCTGGCACTAGCATGTTATGTGCTTTTGATTCCATACGAGAAGCATGATGGAGTTGTTTGTCAAATACTATCCTACCAGGCTTTTCAGAGGAATGTCATTGTCCCCGCTGAGTCTTGGAATTAGAATATCTCTTTGTTCCTGAGTCTTGGTTTAGTTTGGTTTTTAAATCTATTCATGCTTTTACTTTGTGATTACTCATGCTATTTTTATAGAATTGTTTTTCTAATGTTTTAGATTGTTTCAACTTTAATTTCTCTTTCAGTGGGAGCATTCCCTGAGTTAATCCTTGTCACTTAACCTGAGCATATGCTAGGTCAGTTGTGACTCACAAGAGACTGAGTGGAATGGCTCAGGAACACCTGTGATTTGGTGCTGCAGTCATTGGAGAACAGCTCTGCCCACTGGCTGATCTTGTACCAAGGTTAATCACCTAAGCCCTCAAGCCCACATTTCCCAGGCTCCATGATGAAAATTTGAAATAGAAATAACAGCCATGCTCCTCGATTACCTCTCTCCCAAACAAATTGACCCAACAAGATTTACATCTTCGGATAAACTAGGTGCTACGTAGGCATTTTTAAAATGCGATTCCTCTGAATCGTCAGGTACTGTTCTAAATGCTTTGCCAATATAAACGTAGAATCCTTACGACAACCCGAAGAAGTAGATGATGTGCTAGCCCTGCTGTTACAGAGCAAGAATTGAGGCAAGGAAAGGTCAAGCAACTTGCCCAAGGTCATACAGCTAATGATAGGCCAGAGCCAGATTTCAAACCAAGTGGCCTTGTCCAGCCATGCTTTTAATCCTGCACTGTGCTGCCTGGTGCACGTGGAAGTTGATTTCAGTGTGACCGCAGTAAGTCATCAACTCTGTCTACAGAATCATCTTTACATTTTAGTGGAATTGTATATTTCAACTCTTGGCACCTCCTCTGGCTCTATTCCCGTGTGTAAGAACGGCGTCTCCTATTTTGTTCACTACTATATATCCTCCTCCCCCAGCTTGGGTCTGAAGATAGAAAATGAACAGCAAATTTTAAGTTACACTGTTTGGTAACAGTGTCTAACTTCATTTTTCTCTGATTTTCTCCCAGGTGCTTCTCACTACCAGGTTCCGCCCTAGGTCAGGCACTCTAATAATAGCTGGTAGAGAAGGCACCATCTCATTCATGGACCTCCACAGAACAACAAAAATTTGAGTCACTACTGCTCATATTCCCAGCTCCTGCTTCAGCCCTTGTACTATAAACAAGTGCCCTTTCTGCAGTCTATGTAGAGACATGGTTTTCTCATTTTTGTTGGTGATTTTGCTATTTTGAATGGCCCCCAAGCAGTCAGCTGAAGTACAGTCTGGGGCTCCAAAGCCCAAGAAGGCTGCGACTCGCCTTAAGAAAAATCAGACATAGAGAAACTTCCTTCAGGCATGGTTACAGTGCTATTGGCCAAGGGCTTAGTGTTCATAGCCAATCACAGAGGTTGAATTTTTAAAAAGAAACGTAAAACAAGGTTATGTGTTGCTGAAAATGTGTCCAGAGGCTCCTTGGAACCTGCCCCTGCATTTCATCGTT